CTAGCAGGGCTGGGATTTGATCCTCAGTCAGGCACCAACACCCTCTCTCCACTCACACCCCTTACCCTGGAGCTGGAATTGGGCCTCTGGATCTCCATCCGCCCTCCGGCTCCCATCATCTGTTTTTCTACCTGCTTCACCTTTGAGGTTGTCAGAGGCTCTTCTTCCCAGAGAAACGCTCCTTTTACTGCATTTGTCCAGGAGCCCAGCACTCTACAAGCTACCCATTAGATGTAATCGGTAACGAATGTGGTACGTGATAAATACAGGTAGCCCGTTTATGAGCTGCCATTTATTATGCCCCTTAATTGCTACAAAGCCAAAGCCAGCTCAAGCCAGATCCTGCCCTGGAGAGCAGCTTGGCCTGGGTGGGCCAAGGAGGGAGCCACTAGAGCCTGGCCCCTCGCAGACTTCCAGCATCTTAGTGGGGCAGTCCCTTCTGCCCTCCAAAGGCCCATCCGGTTCAAGCCTGATGGAAGGAACTGACAAGTCATCAAACTGCTCCATCATTTTGCAAAACAAGATGCGGAGGCCAGAGAGAGGAAGTGACTCGCAGGGCAGGAGACTCGGGCTCTGGACTCCCAGTCCAGTGCTCCTTCTGCCCTTCTCTCTACCTGAAAGCTGCCCCGGGACCAGGTGGAGCACAAGATCTGGGGTAGGCTGAGCAGCATGCTTACAAGCCCTGGGATGTTGGGCAGGTCGCTTCCCTTCCCTGAGCCTCAGTATCCCCATCTGTACAATGGACAGTTCTTCCCACTTCATGGGGTCATTGGAAGAGTCAGGGCAGGCGCTTCGTGGAGGTGGCATGTGGCTGTCAAGGAGTCAGTGCTGTATAAAGATTCTTTCCTGTGCTCTTCCCCGTTTCCAAAGAGCGCCGAGTCTCAGCAGACATGTGGAGTTGAGTCGGCCTGGTACCGAAAGGAAAGGGGGTCAGAGTGCAGCACCTAGGCTTCAGGGCACTGTCCTGGGGTCCTGAGCTCAGGGCGAGCAGCGGCCCAGGGAGGTCCGTACACCTGCCGGGTTGGTGTGGCCATGGGAAGAGCTGTCCACCCTGCTCCAGGCCAGTGCAGTCACTGACTTCTCACCACAATGCACGATGTGGGCCCTCGGTACCCGTTCTTGCAGACGAGGAAGCTGAGGCTCCCAGAGGTTGGGTCATTTGCCAAAGACATAGCTGTAGAAAGATGAAGAGCCAGGATTGGAGCCCAGGTGTGTTCAGCTTCAGAGCCTGTGCTCAGAACCACTGTGTTTAGATGCAGGTGAGATGCTGCTTCTAGAAGGGTAGAGATAGAGGAGGGGCGTGGCTGGTAGGTGGGCGTGGAGATGGCCTCCTGGGGAGCTGCTCTGGAGGCAGAGAGCCTAGGCTGAGGGCTGATGGAGGAGACAGAGATGACCCACGGCTAAGGGTGAGGGTCAAGATGATCAAGAGTGGGTGGGCACGGGCACGGACCAATCAGAAGGCAGGCTGGCTAAACAGCTGGCTGGTCAGACCTGGGGGTCCCCACCGAATCTCAGCCCTTCCACTGCCCGCCGGGAGGTTGGGTCCCGGGACAAAGGAAGGGACAGGTCCTCCTGATCCTGCCTATGCGGGGCAGCTCTAGGCTCTCCAGCCTCAAGAAGATCTGGAGACAAAGAGAGGCACATGGGGCATCAGAAGGAGTGACGTGGGGCCTGTCCTCACTCTGGAGAGGGCACAGCAGGGAGAGGAAAGGAGGAAAGGAGGAAGGAGGAAAGGAGGAAGGAGGAAGAAAGGAAAGGGAGCCCCTCTGCTTGTGTGGATCCTCAATCCCCCTCTTTCTAACTGCTGGGGGTGCGGAGGACACAAAGACACGATGCACGCAAAGCCCTTAGCCTCGAGCCAGGCTTCCTGCCCGTGCTGTTTAATTAACGTTTGCTAGGTGGCGGGGCTTTATGCAGTCCAGACCACGTACCAATCCCTGCTCTGTCCCTGGAGGAGGGCACAGCTGCCATCCCACGCCTCCGGGAGCTCACCAGAACACTGGCTGATGACATAATGCTACACAGCGTGCGGGGAGGCGGGGGTGGAGATCAGCAGTGGCCATGGGAGCTCTTGGGAAGATAGGGACAGGATGGGGGGTGTCGGGGATAGAGGTGATGCCTTGAGGGATGAACAGGAATTAAGTGGGAAGGGAGGAGGTGGAAAGGCAGTCCGAGCAGAAGGGATCAAGGCACCAAGTGAGCTCCCGGGACTGTCCTTTGATGTTGGCGGTGGGGCAGAAGCGTACCAAAAGGTGGCCGTGGGAGTCTTGGAGGCCCTTGCAGCCCACGGTCAGGGGGTGGCTGATCTCCTGTAGAGGCCAGGCGGTTAGCAGGGGCCTGATGTGCCTTGTAGAAAGGCCCCTCTGGGGGCACTGGCTGGAAGGGGAGTGGCTCGAGGTAGGGGGACCCCAGGCCAGGGCTGAGGCCACATCTGAGTGAGAGAGGAAGCCAGGAGCTGGACTGAGGCTGGAGGCACTTGAAGGATCCCTGAGATGGGGTGGATGGTGTCGCCAGATTCTAGCTTTGGAGGCAGATGACATTTCATAAACTCAGGCCACAGCTTAGTGAAGGAAAGAAGAGACCACACACACACACACACACACACACACACACACACACACACACACACACACACACTATCCTTTGTTCTCCCAAATTAGACTGCCTGGGTTCAAATCTCGGCCTTACCACTCACCAGCTGCAACCTCGGGCAAGTCGCTTAGCCTTTCTCTGCCTCAGTTTCAGTTTCCTTCTCTAGAAAATTGGGATGTTGATTGTACTTATCTCATAGGTTTTTGTGAGTTAATACATGTCTAGTGCCGAGGATGGAGCCCTGCACCTACTAAATGCTCAATGTTATTATTCCCAGGGGTGGCGACCCGCCAGGTGACTCCAGGAACCCTGTGTTCCCCTTCTCCTCTCACCCAAACTAACAAAAGACCTGGGCCCAGGTGCCCTCGGAAGGACAAAGGCTTTGAGCCTGGAGCCCTCAGTTCAAGTTCACTCCCTGATTTTCTTCTGGAGTGGCCTTGGGTTCATCACTGTGTGGCCTTATGCGTTGGTTTCTGCCACCCAATAAAATAAGAAAGCGCATCTGGCCTGGGTGCTCTGTGCCCTGCCTGGGTGTCCCCTGCTCAATCAGCCAAGCCAGCAGGAGCCGAGGAGCCAGGCCATGTAAGGAGGGAAGCCCTCGGGCCCCAGGCCCTTGGCTGCCTGACCCAGCACCTTCCTCATGGACTCCCAGGTGCCTGAGCGGTGCCATGGCCACTGCCCAGCGAAGGTCAATGCTTGACACACTAGCAAAAACCACAAGAAGAGGAGATGAGAGGCACCAGACTTTCCTGCATGCCCTTCCCCAGCGGCGGGTTCTGCCTGTGCTTTTCTCCGCATGGATTCAAATGCACTTTTAAAACCCTCTAGCCTTGACCAAAATGCCACGTGGGGCTGGTCCTGTCAACTCCAAGTGGAATGAGCCAGGAGTGCGGGAGGCGAGCATAGCCCTGGCCCCTTTGTTCCTTAGACTATGAGGCCTTCCTTGCTGGGGAGGGCATCGGGTTATGGTCTGGGGTGGGGAGGGGACAGATTTTCTGAGTGCCCACCATGTACCAGGCACGGTGCATGGGCTTTGGTGTTAGATCTTAGCATTGCTTCCTACATGCTCTGTGGCCTTGGGCAAATCCCTTAATCTCTCTGATAATCGCATACACCTTGCCACAAACTGAGCCCAGCTCTCTCTGGAGGGAGGATGGGAAACCGTGGAAAGTAATGAAGCACCATCTTCCCTACATTCGACCACGTCCAACACAAAGGGTCCTCCCAGGACCCTTTGCACCACGCCCTGTCACGGAAGTGCAGACCACCTGCTGGGGTCACCTGGAGAGGGACTCAGGCCAGGCTGAGCTGCAGCCGTGCCCCTCACCAGCTGGGGGAGGTTGGCCAGGCTATTTTCATCGTGAGCCTGGTTTCCTCACCTGTCCCATGGACCTCTGACCCCTGCCCCAGGTCGCTCCCCGGGGCCGTCATGAAGAAAGTATGGCAATATTGACTACTGAATATGGATGTGACCATGTGCTTGAGGTCTGACTCGTGAGAGCAGATGCTGCTGTCCGCTAACCCCGGGGATGCGGAAGGGCTGCATCTTGTTGGCTTCAAGCCCCAGTTCTTGGCACCCAGTCGATACACAGTAAATGTTGGCTGAACAGAATTGTATGCAGTGACTTACTACCAGGGGCATACTTTTAGGTAGAGACGGGGAAGGCTCCTTAGGTAGGTGGGATGCCGTAGGTCTCATGATGGAGGTAGTCAGGGCGTGGGGAGGGTTTGGCCTCAGGAAGGGGGCTTGGGCCCCTAGGTAGGTGCCCGCCCCCCCTTTTCCCCTGTGACACCCGTCCACTGGCACCATGGAACAGCCCTGGGCTGTCCTGCAAGCTGGAGGGCGTGTGGGGCGGCAGGAAGTTTGTAAGGCCCGGATTCTGATCCTGTTCCATGACCGTGGCAAGTTCCTGAAGGCTCTGAGCCTGGGTGGCTCGTCTGCCCAAAGGAAGGCTCACCTCTGCAATCAAGCCCTGTCTCGAGGCAGCCCTGCTGAACACTTGCCACCTGCTGGACGTCGTTCTAAGCATGTTACCGCATTATTTCCGTGAATCCTCACAATACGGCTGGGAGGAAGCTTCTGTTTTTAATCTCCTTTCTCAGGTTGGAAAGAGCAAGATTCAGAGAGGTAGAGTGATTTGCCCAAGGCCACACAGCAAATGAATGGTAGAACTGGGCTTGAACCCAGGCAGGTTTGCTTCCCCGAGTTCTCACTCCTAACTCTGGCCCCCCGAGATAAAAAGCTACGTCCGAGAGAGGTAATTGTTACCGGTCTCCCTCTTCCTTCACAGGCTGGGCTGCAAGGGCAGGGCTGACCTCGGGGAAGCCCCGTGGGGGAGGGGCAAGGGTTCTTTCTAGGTGGGGTCCCCCAACAGGGAAACTGAGGGGCTTGCTGTCTTGTAGGTAGAACACCATGGAAGGCGACTGTCTGAGCTGCATGAAGTATCTGATGTTTGTTTTCAATTTCTTCATATTTGTAAGTATTGCTGGAGCATGCCTGGGGTCTCCCTAGGCCTCTGCTGGGTGGGCAGAACAGACCGTGGCTGAGAAATAGGCACACCGGGCTGAGTCCTGGGGGCAGGAAAGGGACCAGTGCCAGAAGCAAGTCTCCCCGCCCAGCCAGAATTTCCCAGACGAGAGGCTGCTGATGGTGCCCGCCCCACTCCGCAGAGCCCAAGGTCACAGGGGAGATGTTTTGTACAAAGGGTAGGGGCCTTCATCCTGGCTGCTGCCTCAGGATCCGACCCCTGGTGGAGGGCCGGAGAGAAGGAGGGGAAGGAGAAGAGGGCAGCCCAGACAGCCCCACTCAACCCTGAGCCCCAGGGCAGTTGCACGTCCCCGAGCTGGCTGGGCTGAGCTGCTGTGACCACCCGATGTAATCTGAACCCTCTCAGGGGCTGGCAGCACCCTGGGTTCAAAGCCGGCTCTGTGTCTTACCCGCTGTGTGATCAGAAACACATTTCACCTCTCTGAGCCTCAGTATCTTCATCCCTTCATTACCTACCTCAACAGGTTGTTTTGAAAACTAAGCAAGATTGGTTTAGGAAGTGCCTGGAATGTGCCAGCACTACTGGCTAGCTTAGCTCCAGCCACGTCCAGCCTGTGGATTCTGTACTTGAAAGCACAGCTCCAGCTCCAGTGTCCCCACCTGCAATGGGGTTGCGTCCCCTTGGGCAGCTCAGTCTGAGCCCTTGAAGCAGCCCTCAGCACACAATTGTTGAACCCCAAAACCTTCAGAGCAATGAGGAGGGAGGCAGCTTTTACCAGAGCTTTTGTAAGGGACGAAGGGGAAAGGCAGTGTCCAGCACAGGGTGACCCATGGGCACTCTGTCATCAGCAGTCGCCGTTGGCCTTCCCTTTCTCTCCGACCAATGCTGGGTCCTTCCGGCCTCTCCGCCGCTCCCCTGCCCCAACCCCTGTACCTAAGAATATTATCTCCGGCTCCGAGCTCCGAGCCCCAAGCCGTGCAGTTCTGCCCACCAGCTTGCAGACCCCTCTCAGACACCCAAAGCTCACCAGTTTGCTCTTAGCCGCAGCCTGGCATTGCTGGCCCGTGCCTCTGGGGGACCTCTGGGGGACCTCTGGTCCTCCCACTACACAGGGATTTCAGACATTTCACCCCATTCAAAATCTGGATGAGGCCAAATTGTTCTCCTGTTCTTCTCCCCACCTGATCTGCTTCCAGTCCTTGTCTGTCCCCAAGGAAAATGGAATGGGTATTTTCTGAAACTTGCTAAGCACATTCCTGTCCACTCTGTCCTTTCTTCCTTGGGGCCACCTTGCGGTGGGGGGGGATTTGTATCTTCTTTTACCCATGAGGAAGCTAAGGCTCAGAGAGGTTAAGCCACTTACCCAAGGTCACACAGCTGACAAGCGGCACAGCCCTTTCTCTGGACTGAGCTGCCTCTCTCCAAAGATGAGTAGGGCACGGAGAGATGGGCTGTGGACATGACGACATAAACAAGAAGGCTTTCGAGGAGCCGGTTTGAGAGTGGTGAGCCCACGCTGATGAGAGCTCCTGTTGAGGACAAAGTGGACGGCTTGTGTCCACGTTTTCCTGGCCCCTAGCATGGTACAGGCCTCAGAGCGTGTGCCGTGGCCTCGGTGAGTGTCAGAGAAGCCTGGGATCCAGCCCTGGCTCTGCCGTGAACTTGCTGTGTCACCTTCAGCAAGTCATGGCCCCCTCTGGGGCTCAGTATGGAAGCAGAGGGTTGGACTAGTGACCTCATTATCCTGCAGCTCTGACATTTAAGGAGACTATCAAAATGGCCGATAAACTCCCCGGGACATGGTCCCCAGCAGCCCACGAGGGGGTGTGGACCAGAGGTTGGGTGTAGAGGACGCCCTTGAGGTCTGGGTAACCAGGAAAATGCAAAACAGTGAAAAGCATTGCTTGGACACTGGTTTGTGCAGCAAATAGGGTTTCTGCCCGGTTTTCTGGGGTTCCCGGGGCTCCCCAGCTCCACCATGGGGCCTGACTCAGGGGAGACGGTGTGTGTGTGTGTGGAGTGTCTAACCCCCTGTCTGCCTCTTTCTTCTCCCCGCTCCTGACCGACCCTGGGAGCAGCTGGGTGGGGCCTGCCTGCTGGGCATCGGCATCTGGGTCATGGTGGACCCCACCGGCTTCCGGGAGATCGTGGCCGCCAACCCCCTGCTTATCACGGGCGCCTACATCCTCCTGGCCATGGGCGGCCTGCTTTTTCTGCTCGGCTTCCTGGGCTGCTGTGGGGCCGTCCGTGAGAACAAGTGTCTGCTGCTGTTTGTGAGTAGCCCCACCCTCACCCCACCCTTGGGTGTCCCGGGGGCAGAGTGGCGGGAGTGGGGGGGCCTGTGTCTACACCGCAGGGGACTCCACGGTCACACCCAGGTCTGAGCCAGCTAGCTAGGCTGTCCTCCAGGAGTGGCCCTGGTGGACAGGCGCATGGGCGGTGGGAGGCCCAGGGGGATGAGAGGGCAGTGGGCAGGCCTGGGTTTCAGTGTGCACCCTGCTCTGTCCCCTAGCTAATGATGTGACTTTGGTCTAGTTTCTTAGCCTCCCTGAGCTTTGGCGTCTTGACTTGTTAAATAAGGGGCAGCTTAGCTGGAGGTTGGCACCAAATGAGGCCACCAGTGGATGCTCTGTTTCTCTGACCTTCCGTATTCCCGTGGGCTGGGTCCTTTGGGCCTCTGCCTACGTTCCTGGACTTGGGGGTGGGTCTCCCCCGCCAGTGAGGTCCTGTGGGCGCCCAAGGCTTGGAGAGCTTCTAGCTGGAGCCCAGTCCCGCTACAGGGCCAGGTAAAGACAGCCCTGCTTAGGGAAATGTGTGTGTGGATGGGTCAACGTGCAGATGCTCCTCGTGGGTGAGTGGGCGGAGGGGTCGGGAGTCGGGCAATCCGGGACGCGTGGGTGGGTCAGCGGGAGGACTGTCTTGCAATGCCTCGGCTCCTGTGGATTTGGGAGGTAGAGATCTGGCACCATGCCTCCTCCCCAGATTAGAACAGGCCATACGGCCCCCGTTCGTGTCACAGTGAGATTCCCCACATCCCAGACAGGAAACGAAATCAACTGTGAAATGTGTGACCCCGGAGCCGGGGTCCCTTTTGGCCTTCAGCAACCTGAACACTGCGAACTTCGCATTTGGGGAGAAACGAAGAAACCTGCGGGCGCCCCCTGGCGGAAAGCCCTCTACAGTGCCAGCCCGGGCGACGCAGGCTTGGGAGCCCACGGGTACTTTAAAAGGAGCTGGGATATGGGTCCCGGGTCACGCCAACCCCTCTTTTCCCCCCTTCGCCTCAGGCCCCCGGGGTCTCATCTCTGAAGCCAAGGCAGGAGGCCAGGTCGGGGCGCTGCGCTGGGAGCAGGCTGGGGGCCTTGAGAGTCCTCCCCACAAACCCGCAGCCTCTGAGCCTGCCGCTGGATGGGTACATCGGTCCCTGTGGAGAAGACCAAGGCCCAGGGACCAGCTGAGGTTCGCCCCAGCCCCCCGAAGGAGAGCTGAGCCCCCTTAGAACCTTAAAGTACCCCTTCCACCCCTCTCTTCCGCCACCTTCTCCTTCCTCCCTTTTCTCTCCATTAGTCTCGAGATCTAGGAGACCTACCTATGTTCATCCTTTTATTTTCTTGCTTTCTCTGCCTCCGTTTCTCTGCCTCTTATCTCCTGCTTTCTATCCCTGCTGCCTCTCCTGAGCTCTCCTAGTCTCTGCTCCTCTCTCCCTACTTTCCCTGTGTCCTCTTCCCTCCCCTCTTCCCTCCCCTCCCATCCCTCCCCTCTCCTCCCCTCTCTGAAGCCCAGCGCCTATTAGCCTGACATCTCAGTGCAAGTCACAGGCAGGGGACTCTTGGACCCAAGCCCCCTGTGTCTCAGACCAGGGCTAGTCAAGAGGCTCCTAACCTAAAATGGACTCACATGTCTGAAATTCACCTAAAATTATGTGCAAAATATTACATTAGGGCCTTGGGTGTGTGTGTGTGTGTGTGTGTGTGTTGTGTGCCTATACATATGTGTTTGCGTGTGTTTTGTTGTGTGAACATGTATGTTTCTGGGGAGAGATGTCACAGCTTTTGGAAGGTTTTCAAAAAGATTCATGACCTAAAAATATAAGAAGAACTGCTTCTCTTTCTGACCTGGACTGGCCGTGTGGTGGTTCCTGCTGAGGAGCGGCACCAAGTCTTACCCGTGGTACCTCCGGGGTCCCTCGAGAAGCCCGACGTCCCTGTTCCTCAACCTTCTGGGGAGGGAGAGAAGACTTGTCACGAACAGAACCAAGAGGGAGTGACTTTGGCCACCTCAGCCGATTGGGAGGCCTGGGGTGGGGTAACAGAGCATCCCCTCCCCAACCCCCACTCTGAGGATAAAACCCCAGGGCCCCATCACCCTCAGCCGACCAATGAGCCTAATGACCACATCACCTAATGATTAATTTTTCTAAAGATACAGTTTCCAAACACTCCTGTTGATCAATTTTACAGCCTTTTCAAATACAATAGGATAATCTCAGCCTATAATGGGCATTTTGTGGCATCCCTTTCTCGCGGTTGCTTGCCTAGGAGTCGTTCGCAGAATGTTTTTGATCTATTTATTTAAAGATACAAAAATTTTTTTTATATTTTATGACAAAGGCATGCTGAATTGGAAAGGAGAACAGCAAAAGGAGATGCGTGTATTTAGAAGAGATAAATGAGCTGAATGGCACATAAAGTATGTAAATTTGGTAAACATTTATTACAAACGAGAACTGAAAGTGGATGTGCCCATAGGCAGATGGGCTAGAAAAGTCTGGAAATGTTTGCAAGGAGGCAAAATAGCAGTTTCCGTCCCTTTGTGAATTTTTCCATCCGAAGCAAAGTGGTGAACATTTGATGTTTGGGAATTACTGGCAAATGTGTCCTTCAGCAAATGGAATGAGGTGAGATTAACTTAAACCCCCTAGGAAAGGCCCCGCCCCATGAGGGGAACCCCGGGGAGCCCGGAGGCATCGGGACAAGCCCCGTGGCTGGGTCCAGGGGGAACTTCTCCAAATAACCAGCGATAACCCTGTTAAGCAAGAGGAAGGTATTTCGTGCTGGAGAAGGTCAGTGGGCAGAAGTGGCATCTAGGGCTTGGGGAAACCCTGCTCCAGGAGGGGTCAATGGCAAGGAGATCTGCAGGCCCCCTCCCTCTGGAGAGCCCTACTTTCTCCTTCAGTGAGTTACTAGGCTCATTCTTGAATTTCATCTCAGGAATCATGAATCTCGGCTCAACGTAAACTGCGTGACAATGGGGACCAAATCTGCCTTGTGTATATGAGTTTGCCAGGACCTAGCAGAGTGCCTGGTACACAGTAGGTGCTCAATGAATAGCCCTGGAATAAAGGGACAGAGAGGAGGTGGTCTTAGAAGCGTGGCAAGAGCATGGGCTTTGGAGTCAGAAAAGTCTAGGTTCTAATCTCTGCTCTGCTACTTCCTGGCTGTGTGACCTGAGGGCAGTTACTTAACCTCTCTGAACCTAGGCTCCTCCTTTGTAAAATGGAGATGAGGATACTGCCTTCCCAGCCACAGTATTGTGATCACGGTAAAGCTCAAAGTAAAAATGTGCATCTTGCTTAACTCTGTTCCCAGCACAGGCAAGCACTTGGTAAACGTGAAACTAAAAGAATTAGGTTGGTCCACAAGAGACCCTATGAGCAATCTGAAAGTCTTCAGACCTGGAGGCTCTTATGAGTGTACTACCCTCTTCGGGTCCCCGGGTCCCCCGGGGAAGCTGGAAGGGGTGATGGCAACTGCAGCTGCTTCACCAGGCTGCCGAAAGCACCCCAAGGAAGGAGCCGCGAACGATCCACGGCACCTCAGTGGTAAGCTCTCAATAGAGGGTAGCTGGCGTGACTTTCTCGGGACCCGCCCACACCAGCCCTTGCCCTCGGGACAGCCGTGCCTGCCTCTTGGTTCTGAGCCACCGTCTGAGCAGCTCTCCGCTGTGCCGGCCTCGTGCAAAGCCCTTCAGCTGCACCATCCAGGAGTGCCCCACGCTCCCGGGGCACTGAGCACGCGCGGCGTGAGCTCGGTCTCATCCATGGTTTATGACTGTCTCAGCTATGATCGATAGCCAGAGCCAGCTCAGTCACCTCGCTGAGGATGGAAACCATTTCCAGGGCCTCTCTTTGCGAGCCTGGGAACTGCCGGCGACTGCACCAAAAGGGCAGAGGGCAGGGAGGCGGTCCCATGGCGGCCATGTGAAACAGGGCCGGATGCCCATCCATCACCGGCCAAATGGAAGTGCCAGGAGCCCTGCCAGGGGCCTCCATCACTGTCACGGGAGATGAGAGGCTGCACAGCCTCTTGTGGAAGTGGTGGTTGTGGGGTTGGCAGAATGGACTGTAGGAGTCGCGGTGGGGTGGGGAGGGCAAGCCTGCCCGGGGCACAGGGGGCCCTCTGGGCAGGGAACTCTCCCCCCAGACCCTAGCAATCCTGGGGAAACAGACCCCCAGGGCTCAGAAGAGTCCCTCAGGCCAGTCGTGAGCCACGCTTTGCAGCAGAGAGAGAAGAGGCCGCGTGGTGCTTCTAGGGCCAAACAAGCCTCTATGAGCCGGAGCCCATGTGGGAGGCAGCTTGACCGGCCAGCCCGTGGCTGAAGATGACCACTAGGGACGAGGGTGAAGGGGTCTTTTTGCAAGGCATTCTCCTTGGAGTTGGGCATTTAAAAAACAAGTGAAGCCGTTGACAGGTCTCAGGATGTTTCACGTCCGCACCCTGGATAGACCATCTCGAAATCCACCCCGAGGCTCTCCATCCGCAGCCCAAGCAGTTTGGAGAAACCCCAGGGCCTGTGTGGGGCGGTCGCTGTTAGAGGTGAAAAGTCAGGGAGGGAACGTGACTGGGGTCTTCCCGGGATGAGGATAAAGTGACAGAAACCTTCTTCTGACTGGGAGAGATGTGATCCAGAGATGTGATCCTGGGGAAGATGTGAGGGTAGCCTACCCAGGGGCATTGCCAACAGCAACGGATGTCTGCGGGAAACGCGCTGAGTGAACCCCTGACAGCCAGGCCCTCCGAGGCTCACGCGTGAGCTGGCTTCCGTGGTCCTTCTACACTTGTAAGGCCCTCAACGACAAGCTTTGCTCAGCCCCTCTGACGACATACAGAGACTTTCACACCCATTATTTCATGATTCCCCATGATGATCCCAGGAGTTGATGTTAGCATCCCCATTTTACTGACAAGGAAACTGAGGCTCGAAGGGTTTTTTTTTTTTTTTAAGCCACAGGAAGGGACAAGGAGGCTGAGTTGGCCTGACACTGAGCCCAGGACCCTCCACCTCCTTCCAGCTCGGGCACATCCAGTGCAGGTCTCAGGGCAGCCGGCCGCGGTGACTGGGAGGGTGTGGAGGAACCAGTCTCCGTGGGCAGTGGGCATTTGGTCCTCTGCTGGTGGTCTCCAGGTGGGCTGACGACTCCAGGATTGTCACGGACTGGAAATGCCAAGGGCACCTGCAACACTGAATAATAAAGGCAAAGTCATTTCCTGTTTCTTCTGCCAACAGCCCTCAGCCAAAGCAGTGCCCACACTGACCAGGGTCTGAGATGTGGCAGGGAACAAGGTCATTGTGGTGAGCGGGTCAGTCCTGGATTCACTGGTTCATCTGACAGCCCTGTACCGACACCCTTGCTGGCGGGCACCGGGAAGGCAGCATGCATGCTCTTACAGCCTCTGTGCTTCTGTTTGTGATCTGCGGGCCAGGGGGGATCGTGCAGCAGCTGCTGGGCAGGCACCTCTGCAGGGCACTGCGATGAGGGGGAGCCAGGAAAGGCTTCTCACCACCAGGCGAGGGGCTGGGCTGCGCCTGGTCTGAAAAATGAGGAGCTTTCGTAAATGGAAGAGCTTTCCTGGCAGAGGGAGGGTAGCCTGCAAGGGCCCCAAGATAGGAGGCGTCGTGGAAAATTCGGGGAACATCAAGAAATGCAGTGAGTAGAGCAGAGAAGGGTCTTGTTAGATTTCAAACTCCAGCGCCTGGGCTTCCAGATGTTGTTGGATCCGGCACCTTCCCTCCCACCTTGCTCCTTTATTGTGGCTGAAGATCAACATCATCTCCCCACTGCTCATGGGAAGGAGAGGCGGCCAGGCAGGGAGAGGTGGTGCTGCGGCGGGCGGGGTGGGGAAAACCAATCAGGGGTCCCCAGGGAACTCCGGATTTCCACGTGGAGGGGGCCCAAACAGGTCAACATTGATGGCCTTCCAGGGCTACAGGGTGGCATTGTTCAGGCTGAACACTGCACAAGGGGCATCGTGGAAGGGGTGCCATTTGCCCGGAAGGCATATTTGTTTGTTTACCTTGCTGACCCCCAAAGATGAGTTGTTGGTATGCCTATTATGAAAAAATGTCTGGGGTATGGCAGTGAGGTTCCTTTGTCTCATAAAAGTGGTGCATCGGGTCAGTTGCGTGGCAGATGGACGGGTGTGTCAGCGAGTGGTCACCTGGCCCTTTCCCGCCACCCTTGGGGCTCACGAGCCTGCCGCTTCTCTTTGCAGTTCTTCCTGTTCATCCTCATCATCTTCTTGGCAGAGCTCTCGGCAGCCATCCTGGCCTTCATCTTCAGGGAGAACGTACGTGTGGGGGCCCCCCGTGCCCCGGCCCCCCTTTGTGGCCAGCCCCTCCCTTCCTCAGAGAGGGCCTCACAGAGTCCGCAGCCTCTCAGCCAGCAATTCCAGCCCAAATCGTGGCCCGCCACCCCAGCGCCCCTCTTCCTGCAAGGGCTTTTCCAGAGGGCAGACTCGGAGGGTCCTTTAGGGTCTCTGCTCTTCCAAAGCAGCTGATACCACCCCACACCTGATTCTGAAATCTTCCATTCCACTCCGTGCCCAGCCATAATTGTTTGACAGGCAGAGGATAGTCAGCGAGGCTGTCCCCCAAGCCCTGGGATACGTGACATACGCAGGAGGACAGAGCAGAGCCCTTTCAGTTGAGGCCCTGGCCAGTATCCAGTTTGGGCAACTTGCCCTCACCAGCCACTTTTTCCAGGAGCTCCGACCACCCAGGGCACCAGCCCACTCCCCTGAGTCTATAGGAGCCAGGCATGGCAGCCACAGGGGGCCTGGAAGCAGGAGGGGGAAGGAAAGAGGCGTGAGGGGTCTGGAGACACAAGCTGGTCCGGGGGAGCAGGAAGGCAAGCCGTGGACAGAGGGGCAGAGGCAGCCGCTCTGTGGGCAGAGAATGGAGCCTGCAGCTGGGCACCACGCAGGGCCCTGTCCTTTCACTACAGAGGGGAGAACAGTGGTGAGGCCTGGGGAGAATATTCTGAGGGCAGGAGCACCTTCCACGGACATGTCTGGAAACTGGATTTGCAGACTCCCCGCTCCACACCGTGACTTCTTCAGGGCCAGGGACCCGGGGTACCCCCTGGCTCTGATGAGCAGCTCAGGGGAGAGGGAGTGGGGCTAGGAGCAAGCCCCCCCCACCTGGATAAACCCTGCTTCTGAGAAGAGCTGCAGGGCTGAGAGAGCTTCCATGTGTGCCCTGGCCTTGGGCTCACCGAGGGGTGTGTGGGTAGACTTCCTTTTCCTGCCGGTGATCCGGTAAGGGGAGGCCACAGGCCCTGGAGTGGGGACTCAGGGGCCACCCCAAGTTAGTGGTTTAGGAGAATGCCCAGCCCTGGGGCCCTGGGGCCTTGCCTCCCTCCAGAAGCAGCTAGCTGAAGAGACCAGGCCAGGGTGGGGGCTGCCCCACGCTGCTGGGGGGTTGGGGGGACTCTTACACCGCCCTCTGCCTCTTCCCGCAGCTCACCCGCGAGTTCTTCACCAAGGAGCTCACCAAGCACTATCAGGGCAACAACGACACCGATGTCTTCTCTGCCACCTGGAACTCGGTCATGATCACAGTGAGTGACCGCCCCCCGCCCTGCCCAGGGATGCAGTGAGCCTTCAAAGCCATGAGGCCAGGTGCAGCAAACGTCCGGCCTCCAGAGCCCGCTTGGCTCACGTGCCTGTGCCAGACATCACTAACCAGTCAGGGCTGGCCCACTGAGCCCAGCCTGGGCCTGGGAATCGCCATCCACCCAGCATTCATTATTCATTTAATGACCCAGCCGTCATTAAAGGCCCATGGAACACAGTCCAGACTCTGGCTGAAACCTGTTTGCAATCTCTGACCCTAGTCCTCTCTCATTGTCAGTGAGGGTAATCACAACCACTGTTTAGTGGGCGCTAAGGCCCGGGGAGGCGGGAATTGTCACCACCATCCCCGTTTTACACAGGAGGACACCGGAGGCTCAGAGAGGTTGAGCGACTTTCCCGGGGTCACACAGGAGGAGAAGAGGGAGCCAACCCCTAGCTGAATCTTGACTCCGCTCCACCACCTTGCCTTATGGTGGCCTCGGGGGAGGCCATCTGTCCACCTCTGCCCCCAGGGCCCAGCTCCCACTCCCCCCACCCAGACTCTTCCATTCGCTCTCCTCCTAGTTTGGCTGCTGTGGCGTCAACGGGCCTGAAGACTTTCGGTTTGCGTCAGTTTTCCGACTGCTGACTCTGGAAAGAGACGAGGTGCCCGAGGCCTGCTGCCGGAGAGAACCACAGACTCGGGGCGGGGTCCTGCTGAGCAGGGACGAGTGCCTGCTGGGAAGGGACCTGTTCCTGAACAAGCAGGTAGCAGGCCCTGCTCTCCCCCCAGGCAGGGGGACTTGGATGGCCAGAGCTGGGCGGGTGGGTGGGGGCTATGAAGCCCCTGAGGTCCAGCCAAAGTAGAGGAAGGATGAGGGTGGCAGATGGGCCGGCGATGGCCCAGCCAGAGGAGTGGGCCTTTTGTCAGGGGTTAAAGGTTAAAGGGTGAGTAGGAGCTGTGCGGTGGTCCGGGCAGAGCACTCCCTGAGCTTCTGACAATGCAGGTTTGAGCCCAAACCTGAATTACATACAGGGGGCCCCTCCTTAGCTCTTATTGTGGGGGAAGCTCGCCTGTGCCATATAGAAGCCCCCTCTGACCCCCAAGGAGCAAGGTTCTCCTCCAAGGTCAGGGAAACTACCAGACTCTTTGCTTCTCTTGCCACCCAAAGACTTTATCTCAGTCCCAGGAAGAAGCCCTTTCCCTTTCTTGCACGTGTCATCTCTGGGGGAGACACAGGGCCCCTACTTTGCGCACACACACACACACACACACACACACACACCCCGTGAGACAGATAGTGCCCTTGTACTTGATTCCTCCTTCCCACCGAGCAGCAACCCTCCCTGGGCCCCTGGCCCCTCTGGTGTATGTGTGTGAGACCAGGCTGGGGATGGGAGGGCGAGAACAAAGATGAACCCAGGGCATGCCCCATGCCCCTCACTTGATTAAGCTTCTCACGAGGAGCTCCTGGGAGAGTTCCAGATGCAGGGGACACAGCAAGAGATGGGAGACAAGGCGCTCACGATCTAGTTAAAGCACATGATAACCAAGGAGCAAACTATAAGTAATAATTTCACATGGTCATGATTACTATAAAGAAAATAAAACCAGACGCCAAGCTAGACAGGACTGGGATGGGGGCCATAGGGCAGGCCTCGGAGAGCCCCAAGAAGGGGGGCCGCGTGCTGAAGCCTGCCCCTGGCCCTCCACTGAGGTCTTCTCAGCCTCAGCTTGGAGCTCAGCACCCCCTCCCCCACCCACATGGTGCAGAGGACTTCACGGGGGCCCTGGGTTCAGGCCACTGTGAGCTTGGGGCAGGGAGGGCCACCAAGGGCTTGGGTCTCAGCCTCCAGGAGAAGCTGCAGGGCATGGAGGGGAGGCAGGGGAGGTCTCAGGCTGCCATGTCAGGCAGGCCCGGACTGCTAACCGGCTGTGACACCCTTGCTGGACCTCAGATTCCTCGTACTGTCGCAGAGCCAGCAGTCCTTCTTAGAAAGATGGCATTTAGAAGATGCCATCGCCACCAGGGAGAAACTGCACTTCCTGCTTCCCTGACAGGAAGGCCAGGTGACCCTGCAGTAGCCAAGCGATTTGTACAACTTGCGTACGGTCTTTAAGAGAAAGTACTGGGCTGGCCCCTCCTCCGCTCCCCCCTGGCAGGCATGAAGCTGTGGTGACTACCATCTGGGACCTGGCCGTGGAGGGTGGCACCCTAGGCTATCAGTGCATTACGAGAGGGGCCTGGGCCGCGGACGGCTGCATGAAACAGACAGGCCACCTCAGCTGAAGATTTCATATGAAAGGCAAACAAACTTCTAGCTTGTCCAAGGCCCTGCTGTTTGGGATGCCTGGTGCCCAGAGCCAAACCTATGTCCTGAGGCCACCTGTGGATTGTTCAGGGAGGCTTCATTGTTCCTGTAGGGCTTCATCCTCATAAATTTCCCATTTCTGGACTCATCCTTGGTGATGACACCTCCTTCCATCTTCTGGGCATGACTTTGGGATCAGAGCTCCTTGGGAAGGTCCCTGCACAGCTGCCTGAGTTCTTTATGGTGCCTCTTCCTTTTCTGGGATCCTTTTCAGAGACCCTCACATCCCCCCCTTGAGCATCCTTCCTTTTCAAAGCCTCTATGGAGGGACTATCACTATTTGGTTTTTCTCCAAAGCCCATTTCCCTAAAGCCCAGGGTGCATTTCTGACTGTGCCTTGCATCCCCGTCACAGTCTTGAATCAGTGAGCAAAATGACTGAATGCAAGGACCCGAAATCCCAACTAAAGGGGTTTATGCAAATGCCCTTTGTGCTTCACACACAGCAAGAATTCTGGAAGGTGGTGGCTTCTCCCATTACATCAGTAGCTTTGTCCTGTCAGTCAAAGCCTGGTCTCTGTGATCTTCGTGGCCTTTCCTTGGTGGCGAAATGGCTGCCATGGCTCCAGACATCCCACCCATGTTTAAGACAGACAGAAGGGAAAGTGTGGCACCACTGTCTTTCCCAGAAAGCCCCAGTAGACATCTGAATAGATCTTGATGGCCAGGACTCGGTTATGTGGCCATCAAGGGCCAAGGCAGAGGGCACTCATCTGTGGATGTTGAGTTAGCCCTCCAGTGTTTACCATTGAACTCCAATGAGCAGAAATGAGGAAATCCCGAAAGAAGGTGATCCATGATGAATATTCAGACTCCCCCACTGGTATGAGTCAGACCCACCAAGGCAGTTTCTCCAGCTCTTCTTCAGCCTTCCCTGGGTCAAGACAGTCACCCAGGCAAGTCAGAAATGTGTTCTCCTGCTGGAAACGAATCCGGGGGTCTCCCAGTAGATGATGGCCTTGCTAGAGCTTGACTCCAGGCCAGAGTGGTGACCACCAATAAGAAACCACCCATATTCCCCATCTGTCTGGGTGATCTTAAGCCCTCTCTCCTCACAGCATCACATTTCTCTGCTTTATCCCCAGTGCTCCCCACCTGCTCCCTGGCAGGTTGTGAGTCTGGGTGCTGCGGTGACTGTCAACATAAAGTGCTACCCCCTCATCCTCCTGGCATGGGAAAAGCATTCCAGCCAGAGAGTGAAAGCAACATGTACAAAGGTCCTGGGGTGGGAAGGAGCATGGTGTGCTCCAGGAACCAAGAGAGGAAGGCCAGTAGGGCTGGAGCAGAGTGAGTAGGGCAAGACTGGCTCAAGGTGAGGGCATTGGCAGGGCTGCTCGTGCTCTGTGTGTGTCTATACCCATCTCCACCTCAGTGTGCATATCCCCAGCGCTGCTTGAGACGGCGGTAATAACACCTGAATTCATCCATTTAGAGGGGCCTGGAGGGCTGGGCTCGTCTTGGAAGGCTGCCCGGAGGAGGTAAAGGGTGCGCTGGGCTTTGAGGAATGGGCTATGTTTCCTTGGGGCAGAGGCTGAACACCAAAATCCTTCAGCCAGCAGGCAGCTAATAAGAAGGAGTGGAGAGGGTCCGTGTAGCTCAACAGGGAATGACGGGGGCTGTGGACCCCCGGGGAGCCCTCGTCCCATCTGACAGGGACCTCCATATAGAGATGATGACTCCACTTGCTGGATCTGGTTTTTCTTTTCTTTTTCTTTTTTTTTTTTTTTGTAAGATTTTATTTGTTTGACAGAGAGAGACACAGCGAGAGAGGGAACACAAGCAGGGGGAGAGGGAGAGGGAGAAGCAGGCTTCCCGCGGAGCAGGGAGCCCGATGCGGGGCTTGATCCCAGGACCCTGGGATCATGACCTGAGCCGAAGGCAGACACTTAACAACTGAGCCACCCAGGCGCCCCTGGATCTCCTGGTTTTTCGAGAGCAGCAGGGAGTCCAGATATTTTGGGGAAATTTTTCATTATTCCAATCACTGTGGCTACTACACAAAGCGTTTATGGTGGATGTGCTGCTCAGGCTGGCCGTTCCCAGCCCCACCTGAGGAGCTGGAGGGCCAGGAGGGGCTTTGGTGTGATGCTGCCAAATTGCTGCTCATGAGCCTCCTGCCCCCCACCCCCTCCCCACCAAACGGTGCCAACAGGGGTTTGACAGGGTAAGCCTGCTGCTGCCCGAGCTTTGGGGCCACAGGCCAGTTCCCAGGCTTCATGCCTCAGTCCTGATGCTGGCCCCTGACCCCAGACTGTCTCCAGCTATGGCCTCACCTCTGGTCCTTCCCTCCCAGGGCTGTTACACAGTGATCCTCAACACTTTTGAAACCTACGTCTACCTGGCTGGAGCCCTCGCCATAGGGGTGCTGGCCATCGAGGTAAGTAAAAGCCCTCACTTCTGCAACTCCCCAGAAGCAAGGCACATGCGGGGTCTCAGAGAGCTCCCCCATGGCCTACAGCACCCGGCCTACCTCTATCTCCACATCCTAAATCCAGGACCAAATGGGTCCCCCACTGCAGGAACTGTGGGGTGGTAAGCCCAGCTGGGGCTGTCTGTTGCCTGAGTCACTGTTGGACTCTGGGCTCATCCGAGCAAGTCTCCGGCAGTGAGTGGGCGGGGGGCGGGCTCTGAGAGTCACCCCCCCAATCTTTCTCCCACTGCCTCCCCATCCCTGTTCCTCTCTGGCTAATCCTCCCCAGAGATCCAGAGAGAACTCCACAGACTTTCAACACCGCTGCCTTGAGGGAGGGGCCGCGGCTTGTGCTTCTAGATCAGGCCCTTTCTCTGTGGGGGGTTCAGGGCCTGTGGGGCCCTGTCGACCTCACGAGGACGGTCTTAATTAACCCCCTTTCAGCCCCAGTCCCGGAGCCCCCTCGAAAGGAAGGCAGCTGCAGACCCTGGCCGCCGCCACCAGGTGGCGCTTCAGCCGAGGGGCGGAGCTGCCCCTTCCTTCTCCACCCACCCCCACCCCCACCCCCTTCTGGATGTCAAACTTCTCCCGGAGTTTGGACTGACCGCGTAGCCCGTGCCTGACCATCTCCAGGAAGGACCACTCCCGGGCCTCAGCCAGTCGTGGGCGGGCGGGGAAACGAAGTCAGGCAGCCTCCCCGCCCCCCCTTCTCAGGGTGTCCTCCAGCCCCACGTGGAGCAGTTTTGTGGAGACTACTGGGGATGGGGCAGAGGGAGGGGTCGTTTATTCGTTCATTCAGCAAGCACAGATTGAGCCCCTACTGTATGCCAGCACCGTTCCAGGTGAACAAGGTCTCTGACTGGGCGGGGAAGGGGGGAATGAACGAGAGACAGATAAATCTGCTGAAACTGCGGGAATCGCAGGCGTGTGTCCGGTGCAGGAAGAACACGGGCTTTTCGGGGTTAACTCCCAGCTCCGCCTCTCCCCAGACGGGGCCTCTGGGCCATAGAGGACCTCTTTGCAAAATGGAGCTACTACCCTGCTCCCAGGCCGGGGTTGCTGCGGGGCGTTGCAAGGATGGCAAAGGATGGGGACTCCGTGCCTGGCCGGTTGTACTAGGGGCTTATTAGACAATGTCTGTATTCTTGACTTGCTGTCCTCACCCCACCCCCCGCCCACAAGCCCATGCACCCCGATGGGAGGCAGAGCTGTGCTCCCAAAAAGGGACTTTTGCTGTATCCTTGTCCCGGCCTCACCTCCCCCACCCCACTTCCCCAACCAGAGATCTGGCCCTGAGCCTGTGGTCTGGGGACTGTCCCTTGTGCTACTTGCAAAAGACCCCTGTCTATGGGGGCCTCAGCCATTCTGGTCAGAGGGGCATCCCTGAATCTAGGTCTCTGCCTGCCCACCGCCCCCTCCCCCAGGGCCCTAGTGAGGTGTTCAGTGATTGTGCTCTCAACTCTGGCAAGGGCTACATCTTCCCTGCCCCTTAATAATGATGCTGGTCGCTTTCTCCCACATCCACTATCTAACGGGCATCACTGCGTCATTAATCACTTTATACTTCAGTCTTACTCCCCTCCTGTGAGCTAGAAAGCAGAGTGTGCAGCACTTCTCAGCACGGGCTGTGGGGTCAGAGTGCCTAGACTCAAACCCCAGCTCCCCTACTTGCAGCTGTGTGACCTTAGGCGGGTTGCATGACCTCTCTGTGCCTTGCCTCCTGCTCTGTCAAAGGTTTCTGAGAAAATACTTAGAACTGGGCCTGGCGCACAGGAAGCCCTCAGGACATGCTCAGGCCCAGAGAAGGGACACGTCTGGCTCAAGGTTGCTGCTGGCAAATAGGGGAGCTAGATTTGAACCCATGTCCAAAGCCCCCTTCTTTCCATGCCTATGCTGCACGAAGGGGGCCAGTGGCTGGCAAAAGGTGCTTGCCCTCAGGGAATGTCAGGGATGCCTCCTGCAGGAGTGTGCCCAGCGATGGGTAAGCCCCCTTTCTGGGCCGATGATTACTTCCCCTTGGGGTGGGACAGCCCCATGCCTGGCTGGGAGCCCAGCCTAACAAGCCAACTTCTACTTTTCTGCAGCTTTTCGCCATGATCTTTGCCATGTGTCTCTTCCGGGGCATCCAGTAGAGGGCGTGGCCTGGAGCCTGAAGCCTCACCCACCACCACTGCCCAGCACCCAAAGCCCTCCCCTCCCCCCGTGCCTCTGCCCTCTTGGCCCCAGGGGAGGAGGTGAGGTCATGATGAGTGGCCAGGAGAAGGGGCAGAGGAAAATAGCTATTTTTTTAACAAAACAAAATGAAGACAAGACTACGGATGGACGGACCCCGCCTGGTCTCCGAGTGGGTGCCATGGGCTCTCTGCAGGGGTCCTGGCGCCTGAACCCCAGGGAGGAGTCTGCACTAGAGACCAAAGGAACCCCAGGACCAGATTCCTTCCTCGGTCCCACCAGCCTCTGGCAGCCCCAGGCCTGGGCCTTCTCCTCAGCTCCAGGTGCCAAGAAAGTGTGGATTTAGCCAACAAGGAAGCAAAAGCAACTCTCAGAGGTCGACAAAGCCCCGGGGGGCCCCAAGGAGACTCAGTCACCATGTCCTTAAGAACTTGGAACCTAATGTTCAACCTCTGGTCCTCTGAGGATGGAACTGTCCCTGCCCCAGGCTGGGGCCAAGAGTGGGCTGCAGACACTGGATCCAAGAATGGCCTAGCCAGCGGGGTCCTTGCTTCCCTCATCTGTTGGATCAAATAATCTGGAAAGCCCAGAGAGGGGCAATTTTTCATTCACAGTCACACAGCATATGCATGACAATTCTGAACAAGAACCCAGTCGTCTCTAGGCTGCCTGTCACTCCTTCCAGGCCTCTGTATGTCCCCGCAGATCCGCTGCTCACACCCTTCCCTGGCCTCAGCATCCTGGCTTCCCCAGGAGAGAGAAAGCAAGCTGGTCAAGAACTTCCCAGCTCCACAGCTAAGAAAATTCTGGACTGTCCTCCTTGCTCCCTTCCCACCTCCCCATACTTCTTTCTAAGCCCCCAGGGACACACACGCGCGCACACACACACACACACAACAGTCTCTTTTCCACATTGCCCACTTCTTCCCACAAGCCCAACCCCTTCCCTGTTCTCCATCAACTCTGTGGCTCCCAGGGCTGGAAGGAACCCCCAAGATCATCTGGTTCTCCTCTCCCCACCCAGAACTAGGCTTGGATGTCTTCCGCAAGATCTCTGCCAAGACTTTGCCCCCTCTTCTTGCATACCTCCAACGATGGGGAGCTTACTACCTCCCAAGACAGACTTCTGTCTTTGCACTGCTTTGACATTTTAGCATCAGCTCAGTACACATTAGAGTTCTCTGTTGTTCTCTGGTTCCATCCATGGCATCCCACTCTCTCTCTCTCCTTCCCAAAGTATTAAGGCCACACGTTGCCTCCCCCAAGCCCCATTTTCTCCAGGCTAAAGAGCTCCAAGACATCTCATGTCTGCTGCCACATGGCTTCCTGTCCCTTTATGGTCCATAGCACACTTCTGAGTGTTTCTTCCAGGCTCAGGCAGGGAGAAGTTTTCCCCTAGACTCACACCCACACAGCACCCACAAACCAGTCCCTCATACACAGGCCTCACATTCTAGACCAGTGTTGGCAACTGTATTGCAAAATGCCTCCACCCCAGTGAATCAGGAGTGACTGCCGGGGGCTGTTCAGAGGATCTGAGCTTTGGCCTGGGGTCAGGGGGCCCGGAGGACAGCGTGATCTTGATTGGTGATGTCTGTCAGACAATTAAGACTTGATTAGTGATGTCTGCCACAGGCATGGCAGTGGGAGGGGCAGCATGGTGCCCGGTCTCCTCCCCACAGCCCCTCTTCAGGGTCTGGGGAGAGCCCATTCTAAATCCCAGGCCCAGTGTCAGCTTCCAGCCTCCCAGCTTGCCAGCCACTGGGAGAGACAGAGCTGTGGCTGGAGCCCATGCCTCCCTGCTCTGCCGCTGACCCCCTTTAGAGATGCAGCCCTGAGCTCTGTGCCTGCTGTAAAAGTTGGGTTTGACCCTCCTCCCCACTCTCCCCTTCCCCATCCCATCCTTCTGCTGGCCCCCTCCCCACCCCCAGTCCCAGGTCCCCCTCCTGGTCTCCAAGCTGGGGCTTTCCATATTGTCCCTGTAACAGCCCGCCCTGGCAACTCCGGACATGATGCCACGAACTCCCCAGTGACCCAGAGTGCCCTGCAGCTGGTAGCCCAGCCCAGCCTGAGCAAGGCCTTGGGCTTGCTCCTCTCTAGACCCACCCACCCACATGCTTGGCTCCAGCTTCCTGGCAGAGGCAAATGGCTGGTCTGAGGTTGACAAAAATAAAAACAGCGGGACTCAGGGTCTCACGGGGCAGCCGTGTGGCTCCAGTCCAGGGGCATCCCAGGCCTCCGGGTCCCATCTGGTCCCCTAGCAGGAGAACCTGGGGCCCTCAAGGTAAGAAGGGCCCGGCCTCTGGCACCCGCTCCCCTCCCTCCCCCAGTCTCGTCCATTCCCACTCCTTGCCACCCCCCACCCCCGTGAGAATCAGTGGGAGGCAGGGCAGGTCCCAGAGGAACATCTGGCTGAGGCAGGTTCAAGGGCGGGTGGTGAGCCTCATCCCTAAGGGCTTTCCCGAAAGGTGCCAAGAAGCCCCGAATCCGCTGCTGCCCACACCGGGGCTGGAAAAGGAGAGCAGGCAGTCTCTAGCACTGACCAGGCTGGTAGCTGTCTGCACGGTTGTCTGCAGCCATTCCGAGGCGTGAAGACTAGAGCCCAGCCCCAGTCAGGCTCCACCACCACCACTCCCCCCCCCGCCCCGCCCACCCCGCCCCGCCCAGGGATTTGAGATCTAACTGGGCCGGTCCACATACAGCCCAGGGCAGGTGCTGGTGGCTGTGGTTTGGCTGCTGGGGCCACGGGGCTGTGGCAGGGGGGACTTCCCCCAGGCAGCTCACCAGGCAGGAGCCAGAACAGACCCCCCCACTGTTGGTCACACCCACACCCTGGACTGAAAGCCAGCTCCCTGCTCCAGAGCCCCTGCCTCTTGGAAGAGGGAAGCCATCCAAAGGGTTTGGAGGCTCTCTTGTCCTTCCATGCCTAAGGGGCCCAGACCGGACACCCCAAACCAGCCGAGGCCCCAACACCCCCAGCTCCCAGAAGCCCCCTCTTCCCTTCCCCCCGTGGGTCCTAGGTCGAAAGTCTATTTTGAAAACTGTAAATGTTCCTTGCGGTAGATAGCAGAGCTAATTTATCATGTTTATTTCCTGTGAGCCCCCCCTTTTTATATTCTATATCAAGAGGAGTTTTTGTAATATAAAACAGGACACCCACACTGATGGTTTTGCACTGGTTTTTGTGACTGTTTCTTACAAAAAGAAGAAGGAACGAAGAATAAATAGTGACTGTGAAGAAAGGTGGTCTTGCTTGTGGGGGCGGGGGGGAGACGGGGGCTGAGGCGGGAGCTTGGCCAGAGGGTGCTGGGCTCCAGGGACAAGGGTGGAGGGTGGTGGTGGGGGGAGTCGTCCCAAACCTTCAGGATGGAGAGCTGGGCCCACGCTGGGTCTTCTTCAGATGTGTGGGTCCTCCTGCCCATCATCCCTGCCTCCGTCCCAGCAATGGCTCCTTGCCTTAATGTGCCCCCGCCTTGTCCCCAGACCACATGGCTGTTTGCCAGGCTCCCTCCCCCTGGGCCTAGCTCCGATGTCCAAGCCAGCAGCACGGAATGTCAAGCTAGCGCCATCCTGGCAGGCCCTCCTGACCATGCAAGGGGCAAGGCCACGTTGAGGGTGAGGCCGCTCGGCCAGCCCAGCCCCAGCAGCTGCCTCGACGGCTAAGCCCGAGCTTTCCCGAGCTTTCTACTTCCGCCGGCCACCATGTCCCCTGGGCACGAGGACAAACTACCCATCACCCGACGGAGGAGGAACCAGGCCTTAAAAGGCCTGCGTCAGTAGGAGGACAGGACTGTGGCCTGGGGGGTGGTGGGCGCCCCGCCCGGCCAGGGCTCGTGAGCAAACAGCTGGATTCTGGGCAGAGGCCCACACCGCAGCGGCAGGAGACGGAGGTGAGGAGAGAGCCCAGCCTCTCCTTAGCCACCAGGTTCCCGTCTGCTCCCCGACCCACGGGGCCTCTCCCCTCAGCTGTGGGACAGAAGCAGTCGCGCTGCTCTGCTGGGGACCAGCTGCATGGCTGCAGGGTCAGCTGGGCCCGGCGCCGACAGGGCAAGGTTCCCAGGCAGAGGTGCAGCCAGCAACGGCCAGAGCTGGGCCGCCCCCGCCGACCACCCACCTCGCCCCACTGAACACACTCGATTCCAAGACGAGAAGCAAGTGCGGGGCCCGGGCTGCCTTTCTCCACACCTGTCCCCAGAACAAGAGGGCCACCACGCCTGGGGTACACGCTTGTGTCCCAGAGGGAAGGGGAGAATGGGGAGTGACAGACAACGGGGGCACACGGGCTGGGGAGGGCGCGGCAGGACGGGGGGGGGCCCTTCAGCTCTGAGGGAGCCGCTTGTCAGCCTCCTCCAGGGCACTCGGGGTGGGGAATGTGAACGAGGCCTGCTGAGATATATCTGTTTATTTCCCGTGCTGACTTGGAAGGGCACCCAGTCCTAGCCCGCCGGGTCTCAGGGCAGCACCCTGGGGAGAGGGTGAGGGTAGGTGAGGGGGCTGAGCCAAGCCGACGGCAGAACCTGAAGGACATACCAAGGGACCAGGAAATGCCGCTGCTTCTCTTTCTTCCTCATCTCCAAACCCCATCACTCACAGGAGCCTCCACAGGGTTCACTCCGTGCCCACTGCCAGGGCCGGCCTGGGGGGGCGAGGCTGCTGGTGGCCTCTGGACCCAGGCCAGTTGCGGGGAGGGGGCTCCTGGGAGCCTCCCGGGGCTGGGCTGGAGGCAGAACAGCCTAGAGCAAGGCCCTAGGACAGAGCCCGTGGTGGCCGGGCTTGGGCCGGGGACGGGCTCTGGCTACATGTGGCCCGCCTCACAGAGAGGCTGAAGAGGGAGGTACCAGCTCAATGACAGCCATCCCTGCCCGTCAGCCCCGCAGCTGGGCTGTGCGAAGGGCAGGGATGTGCACTGACGGGGCCGATGGCAGCTCCCACAGGTGGCGAGGGCCCACGCTGAGGAGTGCGGGCCCAGGGCCAAGCTGTCAGATTTCCCAGGCATACACAGAAGCCAAGTTCCGCTGTGGGGGCGCTAGGTCGGGTGGGGGTGTGGGGAGGACAGGGAAGCAGGGCACACCTCTCTCAAACAAAAGAAGGGCCTCCTGGCAGAAGGCACAGGAGCCTCGCCTCAGCCCAATACCCCATTACTCAAGCTCTTCAGTCAGGGTCTATCCAGGGGCTCCGGAGGCCAAGAGCAAGAAAAGGTGGTGCTGTGTGGGGCGAAGGGCAGAGGTGTCGAGGCTCTGTCCCTCCCCAAACCTGAGAGTCCAGGAGATCACAGCATTTGGGGGTGCCCAGGAGGAAAGGAAGGCGAGCGGGGTCCTTCCTGCCTTCCAGGAGCCAGAGGGAAACTGAGGTCTCGGGGCCTCCCTGGCCCAGCGAGTGGCTAGACTTTCTTGGGTTTTCGGCCGACCTGGTAATAGTAGTAAACGCTGATGGCGACAAAAAGGAGGCGGCTGGCCAGAAGCAGCAGGATCCCCAGGGACACGAAGCCCGTCTCAGCCAGCGTGGCAGTGACCACTGCAGGAGAAAGAGCGGGAGGAGACAGAGGGCAGACGAGGGCCATGCCTCAGCCCCCAACACAGGCTGACCTGCTGCGCCAGGGGCTCCTGCTGGCTGCCGGACCTTGCAGACGTGTCTGGTCTGATGTCCCCCATGCGGCAGGTACTGGGGTGAGGGCAAGCGTGCGGGCCGCGCTGGGTGTGCACTGTCACACCTGCGCCAGGTCAGGGGAGGCTGCAGGTGCACGTGCGTGTGGGAGGCCGTGGACGTGCATTACGTATATTCAAGAAGGCACAGGTATGTCAGGTGCGTGAGCACAGGTGCGCAGACATACAGGTAGACACGGCCGCATGAGCCCCTCCCCCTCAGATTTTCATCACTTCCTGGAAGCCAAGTGGCAGGAGCTGGAGAGCCAGGGGCCAAGCTGCCCTGCCCGCACCCCCCCCACCCCATCAGCCTCCCTGTCTCACTGCCCACCGCAGGACTCACCCAAGAACTGGACCCCAAAGTAACAGGCTTCGGTGAGCAGAGTCCATCGGATGATAACCTTCTCGGCCGTGTAGAGAGCGTTCCACATGATCAGGGAGATGCCTGGGGCGGGGGAAAAAGGGCAGACTGGGATCAGGCAGTTTGATCCACCCACCCGCTTGGGGCCGGGGCAGGATCCCAGACTTCTACATCCCCCACCCCCACTCACACTCCCCACATTAAAACTCATCCATCATCCGACTTAACCCCATAACCCTAGGTCTCCCACTGCCTGGGCGAAGGGCTTGAAGGCACCCCAGTCGCCACCAGCCCCTGCCCGCTCCCCCGGTACCGGTGCAGACCCTTGAGGGATGGGTATTAGTGCCATTGGCACGAGGTTGGGGAGACTGCGTGTACAGAGGCATGGAGGCCTGCTGAAACTGCGGGGCTGGTCATCATGAGATGTGGCTGGGGTCCGGGGCCCACCGTGGGATCTGGGGGAGGCAGGTCACAGACCACCCCGAAAGCCAGGTGGAGGGGCTGGGCCTTTATTCTGCAGGCAAAAGGGAGCCATAGAATGTTTGGGTGAAGAGGAGGGACACTACCTGTGCTAGGCTTTAAAAGCTGTACCTCAGCTTCCTACCAGGAACCGTATGTGACTCAAATCAGAGAGGAAACAGGGCGGTTCAAATGAGAGGCCCAAGGGTGGGAGGGGTTTTCCAGACACTGTGTTGATTTTGCCTCCTCCTCTAGGTGGCGAGGTCCTGGAGGGCAGGGCCTGAGCCTCATTCATCTCTGCACCCCAATGACCAGGGGGTGCACTACACAGTAAGCACTCGGTAAGCCTTTGCCCCAGACGACGGCAAAGACGCAGCCCTGTCCCCTGGGTGTATTCCAGCAGTGGCCACAAGATGGCAGCACACACCTAGCAGAGACAGACTCCTCAGCTGAAGGGGGTAGGCGGGGAGCCGGGAAGGGGAGCCCCTGCACAAAGAAAGGCTTCCCCAAGCTCCTCTCAGTCTCTGTTGGGCCGTAGCTGCCCATCACGTCTGCCCTAGCAATACTCACTGAGAAGCGCACCGCCATAGAGGCGGATGGGGGTCTTGCTGGTCACCTGGGCTCCATCAAAGACGGCATCATAGAGCTGGTCAGGGAAGGCGAGGGCCTGTGGGCATGTGTAGGCAGTTCAGGGTAAAGTGGGAGGGGGCTGCTGCTGAAACACCCCATGGACATCTTCCTTCTTCCCCACCCCCCGCCCCGAAGCCGGGCTGAGGTGCCTGGGGCAGTCCAGCGTCAGAGCCGTGGCTGTCCCCCACTCCCCTGTGTCAGGACAGAAGGCTCTAGATTCCCAGGGGCAAGGAGTCAGGAACATGGACCATGGGATCCAGGATGCTCCAGAGCAGGCAGGGTTCAGGCTGGGACTGTGGAGGGAGCTAGAGAGCCCTGACAGGTAGAGCGATGTGGGGAGAGGCAGCCCCAGGGCAGGGGAGGAGCCCCCAGGAGAGGCCCGGAGGAGGGACATAGGGAGCCAGACCCAGGGCCAGGTCCTGGGGGGCGGGAGGGGGGGCTCACCATGATGGCAATGCCGGAGAAGAGCACAGCAGAAGCAAACTGCCAAACCCTGGGGGCGTGTGGAGAGAAAAGTCACAGCCAGGCCCCCTCGCTGCCACCTGCAGGCCCCAGGGGACCCTCCCTTCTCCAGCCAAGTGGTCCAGGGATGGCTGGTTTTAGGGGGAGGGAATGTGATGGGATGAAGTCACAGGGACACGGGGCAAAGCTGACGGGGCGGGGCCTCACGCAGAACCTGCCCGTACCCCGGCACCCACCAAAACTCACACTCAACGCTCACCTCAGCCCCAGAGGCTCCCGAACAGCAAACTTGATTTCATTGCCCAAGACCTGGCTGATCTGTGGACAAAGAGGGGTCAGGTGCACGCCCAGCCCACTCACTCCCCTCCCTGAGCCCCTGGCATGCCCAGGGACCCACCTGGGTTCTTCTGCTTAGCCCAAGGGTCCCCCAGGCTGGGAAGGTCACACTGAGGTCACCCCCCTCTGCCTCTTCTTGACACCAGAGCTTACGGGAAGCTGAAAATATGGTGAGTAAGATTAAAGCTCAGGGGTCTGCTAGACACAAGCTTAAAGCCTGGCTGTGCCACTTACTGGCTTGACCTTGACTTCTCTGAGCCTCAGTTTCCTTATCGATAAAATGGGTTCATAACTATGTCCCAGGACTAGCAGGATTAAATCATACTTATAAAGCAATTGGTGCAATAATGGGCACATAATAAGCACGAAATTCATTCTAATTATCTGTCTTGTCTTCATTTTTGTTATTATTCCCCTGACATCTCCATTAAGTTCCAAAAAAAAAGGAGCTAAGTCCCAGGGCTCTCACAGCTCCACAGGCCATGGCTACTCTTCTCCCAAATGGTAGGCCAGACCTGCCTCCCCAAATGGGTGTTCAGAGGCGAACCCCTGGGTGTGGCCAGCTTCAGGCCCCTCTGCCCACCTTGGAGCGGTGTACCTCCCCGTCGTCGTCCTCCCCGCCCACGCCGAGGATCTTGCGGGTCTTCAGGCGGCTCACGAGGTCCGTCTGGCTGTGCTTCTTCATGAGAGGTGGGGGCTGCTTGGCCGCCATCTTGTCCGGGAGCCCGGTGCCTACAGAAGGGCTGAGGGGAGACACCAGCCTCAGCCACAGGTCCTGACCAGCTCCCAGACTCAGGGGCAGCCAGACCTGACCCCGGGGCCTGGTGAGACCTCCCTGTCAGCCTGGGGCGGCATCTGGAATACCGACAAGAAATCTGGGGGGCCCAGACTTAGTACTTGGCTCCTTAACCACCTGGCTGTTTGATGAAAGGGCCTCTCCTCTTCCTGGCCTCCGCTTCCTCATCTATAAAATGGATGGGGGAGGATGTCCCTAAAGTTCTTCCAGCTGTGTGAGTCCATCTGGCCTCCATGGACATGGCGCACCCTGGGTAATCAGGCTGGTTGGAGCCTTACAGATGGCCCTGGAGGAGTGTGTGGGCCCGGGAAAGGCATTTGGACCCAGGTGGAGACCACATTCAAAGGTTCCTAGGAGGTGGGGGCAAACAGGAGTCCAGGCCAGTCGTGCCAGAAGAGAGAACATCTGCCCAAGTCCTGGGGTCCAGGTGCCGCACTGAACTTTTGCCCAGATAATCTCACTGTCCAGCAAGCCCTCCCTCCCTGTCTCGAAGACAACCTCCTTCAAATCTGCCAGGACTGAAAGAAGGGGAGGGGGGTGGCCCCAAGACCCAGGGGAGCCAGAGGAAGGATGGCCAGGAGAGCCTTCTGGCCAGGGACACCCACCCCGTGTCTGCTCACGGTCCTCCACAGCCCCCACTCCCCAGCCACCCCCCAGCTCCACCTCGGGCCGGGTCTTGGGCACCTACTTTGTGCCAGGCACTGGGCTGGGAGACACAGAGATGAGGTGACCGCTGGTCTCGCCTTCAATCAGCACAAAACCTATGCAAAGGAGACAAAAGTGTCGACTCCAGTGAGGCAAAGGCTTCCAAGAGTTGGCCCAGGGCTGGCCCTGGGCCCCTCTAGTCACAGCACCCCCCATCCCTGGCAGGCGATGGGAACGATTTACACCCATTCTACAGATGAGGAAACCAAGGTCAACAAAGTTCAACAGAGACAGGGTTGAGTAACTCCAGGACCCCCCACCCGACAGCACCGCATGCCATATTCCAGCATCTCATTCTATAGAGGCCCACAGACATCCGTTGGTCAGTCTCAGGGGTCTCCGGTGAGTGATGTCCAGCCCCCAGGCCTTAGTTCCTCATCTACGAAATGGGGGTCGCTATGCGGTCCCCTCCCCCCCCACCACCCCCGGAGGCACGGAGGTGGTCGGGGTTGGCGATGAAAACCGAAGACCGTTTGATGTGGGGGGGGTGGCCAGCCCCACTGGAGAAGGCAGGGTTTAACCACGCGGCTCCCCCGGGCAGCCGGGCACTGTCCCCACGCCTCAGCACTTGCCACCACTTCTCGAGACTCCAGAGTGAGGCGATAATCAGCCTGGTGTCCCTCCCGCCGCCTGGGGGCCCTCCAGGAGAGCTGCCAGCCACAGCTGGGAACCGCCAGGGCCCGCCTCCCTCGCCCGGCCTCAGCCAAGGAAGGGCCAAGGAAGCACCAGGGAGCCTGGTCCTCACCCTCCTTCCTCTTCCGACCTCCCCTCTGGCCTTTCATTTTTTAATTGACATACTGCAGAACCGACATTCTTTGTTGTTGCAGCTACACGACTTTTAGCACACATATAGTTGCAGAGAACGACCACCTGCGAATCGGGACACCTGCCCTGGCCCTCCCCTGCCCTCCCACCTCGGCCCCAGCAGCCACTGATCTCTGGGCCGTTGCTCTAGCTTGGTATTGTTTTTTCAAACACGTTCTATAAATAGACTCATATAGCTGAACACCACTTGAGACTGGCTTCTTTCATTCCGCGTAATGCTAAAATGCCTCCAAGACTCGTTCGGGCTGCTGGGCGCTTCCCCTGTCTGGTCCTCTTTAGGGCCGGGTAATATCCCATGGGGGAAGATGCACCAGTTGGTTTACCCCGCCACTCACTGAAGGCCATCTGGGCTGTTTCCGAAGTTTGACAGTTGCGCACAGGTCTCTGTCCCGTAGCGTAAGGTGGCACTTGGGTCAAGCCTGCCAGGCCCCAGGCTGTCTCAGTGAGCCCCTGCTCAGAGCGTCAGCTGCCTTTCTCTACCCGAAGAGCCCTCCCCACCAACACACACACAAGGCTCCCCTCTGCACCGCAGGCCCGAACCTGCAAAGCAAGGGCTGTGGGTTGTGGTAGTGCCAGCCTCCTGGGACGGGGTACAGCAAGAGGACTGCAGTGGCCTGGGCTCCACTGGACACCAGAATGACTCTTAGGGGGACAAGCTTCATCCACAGACACCACCATCAGGTACTTGGGCTGGAGGGACCCACTGTGGTCTCCCCCGCCCTGAGTCCAGCTGCCAGCAGGGAGCTCACCACCCCCAAAGGGCCCTAAGGCCTCCTGGGGAGAGTGAAATCGGGGAGTAGGGTCCCCGACACCTGCCTTGACACAGCTAACTACTCTGAGCACTGAGTTCTGTCTCTTCTTCCCCCACAGCACGGGGCCCCGCCTGGGGAGCGCAGGTAGACAGCTGCAGTACCCCATGCACCTGCCAGACCCCCCCATGCCCCCCCAAGGCAAACCACACACATGGACTCCTCAGACCTGCCCTCGAACTTTCTTCCCCTTCCCACTCCACAGGCGTTTTTCAGCCTGGCCTCATTTTAACCTAGGTGAGGACAGAGCGCACCTCCCTCCGCTCCACTCCCTGCACCGCCGCTGAGCCAGGGGTGCGTTCGGATCCTGGGTCTGCTCTCTTACCAGCCACAGGGCTTCAGGCAGCCCCATGCAGCTCTCCCAGCCTCAGTGTCTGCCCTGTGAAATGGGGTTAGTAAGAACACTCCCTCTGTGCAAGGGCGGGAGGCTCAGGAGAGGGAACATGCGCAGGGCCCGGGGCCAAGTGCCTTGCCTGTCCACACTCCTACTTCCCTTTCTTCATGCGGCCATTGAGCCGTGCACAATGGAAACAGCCGGCCTGATAGGGCTGTTGCTTCCTTTCCAGAGCCAGCTGCCCTCCGAAGGGCCCCCAGGGCTCCCCCTTACCTCTGTGCCAGGCTGCCCGAGGCTAAGGGCCGGGCAGGTGGAGGAGAACCTGCCAAGCGAGGAGCTGGGGCAAGGTAGCCTGCAGCCCCCTAGAGCCCAAGTTCATGACCCTCTACATTCTGCACCTGGCGGGCCTCTCCGACCTCGATTCCCAATAAAGCCAGGTGGTTCCCAGTTCTAAACCACTGCCCAGCCAGGAAGGTTCTCCTTGAGCCCTGCTCCTCCCCACCACCACCCTCCTTATTCTTCAGGGCCGCACAGCCCCTCCTCAGGGGCCTTCCCAGGACACATCCCCTTCCTCCGTCGCCTGGACTCCCGTGGGTCTCAGCGTGGGTGGCCACAGGAGGCCACTGCCAGCCCATACTCCTGGTCCCGTCACGGGCACTTGGGCTCCCGGAGACCCCGTGATCTGAAGGCAGGGCTGCTGCCTGGTCTGAGAATCTCCCCGCTGCACCTCTGCAGACAGTGGGCACTCGGTCGGCACGGGCCAGTGAGGGGCAGCCGGGCCACGGGAAGCAGGCCTCCCTAACCCCACCCAGAACACCCGGGGTCACACTCAGACGGGGCAGGGCCCAAGGGGAGGCTCGGCTCCAAACGCACACTGGATGAGGCAGAAAGCTGAGGCCCGGAGAAGGCCAATGAGCCAGTGGCTGGCGAGTGCAGGAAAGGAGCTTTGCAGTCAGGCGGGGCTGGCTTCGAATCGGACCTCTCCTATGGGCCGGTGGCCTCGGACCAGTGGGTCTAGGGTGCTGAAGACATAGGAGAGTGGGTACAGATGCTCTTGGCGAAGGGTCTGGCCCATGCAGTGCCCAGGAAATGGTGGGGGTCTGGACTAGGGGAGACAGTGTGGTGAGGCCTCTCGATGCCCCCTTCCTCAGAAAGCTGTGGCCATCGCTAGAAGACCAGCGCCCCGGGACAGGGCTCTCTGTAGGTCTTGCTCACAGAGCCTGGGACACTTCCTGGCATGTGAGGAGCTCACCAAATATTTGTCACCAAGTCGTGAGTTGGGGAAGCGGTTGCTCCCCCCACCTGACCACTGGCCAAGATCTGACTCCCTGCAGCACAGCCCCCCCACGCCCCTGCCCGCCCCTCCCATCAAGTGCAGGGACATCTGAGGGCAGGAAGAACATCCCCAAAGAGCTCCCAGTGGCAGCAAGACAGAGGGGGTCATGACTAGACAGAGGCCGGGAACAGAGAGGCTTATCAGGGGTGCAGGTGTCAGGGGAGAATGGGGGCGGTGCATATACTTAGCGATTAGGCAAGCTTGGTCTCAAACCTCAACTCTTTCTCTTGTCTGTGACCTCAAGAAAGTTCCTAACCACTTTGAGCTTCCATTTCTTCCCTGGTGGAACCACGGTACTATTTTTTAGCTCACGGGTTTGTGATGAGACGCTGAGCAAAGGCAATCAGGGGGCCCGGCACCTGCCGCGGGCTCCATACAGGACAGACATTAACGGCATTACTTATGGGGGGGCTGCGAAGGCCCTGTCCTGGCGGCAGGTCAGGTGGGGCTGGGGCGTCATTCCCATGTTGGTCCTAAAGGACCTCTCCGCACCCCCTCTGCAGCCTTCCCAGGAAGCCTGGTTTCCATAGAAACAGTCGGACTGCAGAGCTGTCCCCGGCATGGAGACTGTGCCCATGAGGGCTGGCTTAGAAACCTGACCAGCAGTGGCGGTGGGGGGGAGGTGCAGAGGAAGGGGGCCTGGGGCCCAGCACACCCACCAGCTGCTGAGCCTCCCGGTGATGCAGGGGGGAGTCACTGTGATGCTGAACATCACAGCCAAGAACCGCTTCTTTTTCAAACAAGACCCTTTGCTGGAGGAACAGTGCCCCCCTGTCCCTCCCCATCTGGTAGGAACTGCCCCCGAGAGCATCCACCCCAGGGCTGGAGGCAGAGGACAAATACTTCTAGGCCAGGAATTCTTGGCAGCCCCCAAACAACCCTATGAGAATGGCTGTACTGTCACCCCCATTCTACAGACGAGGAAACTAAGGCCTGAGGGACTTACTCAAGCTTCTCAGGGTTAAGTGGCAGAGCTGAAATCGGGAGCAAGTTAACTATGCTATAAATGGATATCCTGAGAGAAGCTGGTGTGTGTGTGTGTGTGCGGGCCTGGGGTGCTGTTTGGTGAACCTGACCTCTAGCAAGAGCTAAGCCGTAAGCCATCTTCCTCCTCACATCGCCTCTTGAAAGCCCCTGGCAGGTTGCCAGTATCTGAACTCCTTCCTTCCTGGGGTCTAGCCTCTCTTGGGTAAGGCCTTGTGACTCCAGCAGGACCAGGGAAGGGCTACAGGGAGACCCATTGTTCTCTTATCACATTGGTGCAAAATTGCTGGAAACAGGGTGTGGGACCGGGCAGCGCCAGGAGAGGGGGCAGTGACAGAGGGCGCCTCCGGGCGGGCGGTCAGAGAGAAGGGGAGGCAAGGAGAGAGGGCCAGCAAGGAGGCCAGGGAGGCTAGAAAGTCCAGAGCCCCCCTGCCCCATCATCCACCCCATGCTCCCTTCCTGGGGTGGCCCATCAGCTCCTTGGCTGAGAGGCCCCCCAAAGACCCCCAATCCAGAACCCCCCAGCCTAAGCCCTCAGGCAGAGTGAATCTCACTTCTTGAGGGCTGCGCTGGAGAGGCGTGGGCGTGAACGGACCCACGTTCATTCCTAGCTTGAGCCTTGGGACCCATTAGCCATGCAGACCCTCCATTCCTGCGCTGCAAATGGGGGTCAAGATGCCTGACTTACCAGGTTGGTGGCAGAATTACAGCGAAACCAGGAAGTCACAGGACACAAAGGGGGCTTCCTGATGCCTGACTGACATCATGACTGACGTCATCTCCATGGCTTCCCGGGTGCAGGTTTGGTCATGTGGGTCTCGGGGCGAAGGCACCAAGCCAAGGCGAGGCTGCGGCAGCAGAGCCTCCTGGAGGTGCGTCCCTCGAGAGCATCGTCATTCTAAAGGCCGAGCCTGCCTGAGTCAGCCTTGCCTCTCGAGTAGATGAGTAGACGGGGAGCCGGTCCCGCATCATCCATCACCCGCCTCCCCGCCAGGTAGAGCTGGAGGGGGACAGGAGGGGGCACGATGCCAAGCCCGCTGAAGGGACAGACCTAGTCCCGGACTCAAGGAAGGGATTCCGCGTCCCATTTCCAAGAACCTCCAGGAACATGGGAGCTGGCATGGGGCCCAGAGGGGACACAGGACAGCTGAGGTCCCCAGAGATTCTGTCTGCCACCGTGGCGAAACCAGAGCCCGACTTTGGGACGCGGGCACCTCATCTAAGGAAAACTGGGGGTGTGGTCTCTGTTATGTTCCCGATGTGGCTTCTAAATCCACTCGCCGGCAGGACACGAGGCCCTAGCTCCAGCTGCCAGGCTGCCCCTGGGGACACACAGAATTTATCTACTAGTTCTCTTTCTTTTGAAGGTGCCTGAATTCCAGAATGGCAGAGGGAAGCCCAAACGTTCATCACAAACATCTCCAGAGCTTCGGGGACCAAAAATAAACATTCCCTGCACCCTGGAAAGGCTGGGAGGGCAGAGCAGAGGAGGGGACATCCCTGGGCTTCACCCCCTGGGTCTGAGACTGCTGTGCAAGGGGGATTCAGCCCCCCGACGGCCAGCCGTCACCACTCAGATGTCACTGGGAGGGTCGTCCCTGTCCCTGCTGACACAGAAGGCGAGTGCAAGGGGAATTTCTGTCCTTTTCAATGGGGAATGGGCCTGCCCCCCTCCCCACCAGCCCAGTGACCACGTCAGGGCCCTCAAAGGCAGCTGGTGCTTCCAGGGGCCAGGGCTGTGGTGAGGGGGCAGCGGACACATGCCATTCCCCTCACCGCCCCTCCCACCTCTCTCCAAACCTCCGAAACGGGAGGACAAGAGGGGGGCAGGTGAACTTCCCTGCAGGGATGCTCCACCATTTTAAGCCAACTTTTCCAGAAGCAGGAGGTGATTTGCCTTCTGGGTGGGTTGGGGGAGGCAGGCAAAAGGGTCCCTGTACTTTTCCCAGGATGCTATGGGCCAGAACAACAGTCCAGGACTGACCATCTCCCCCCAGGGTCTGGGGCTCTGGCTCAGGGTCAAAGGACTAGATCAGGACTCAAAATGCCTGTGCTTAAATCCTGGTTCTACCATTTATTAGCTGCATGGCCTTGGGCCAGTGACACCACCTCTCTGGGCCTCGGTTTCATCTGTGAAATGGGTGTAATAAGGACACCTACAACCCACTGATGAGAAGATGCACAAAAACACCTAGAACCGTACCCGTTTTATAATGAATGCTCAGTAATAACGTCGCTGCTGTTATTCCCAGGCTAGGAGACTCAGCTTCTTTGCCTCCGTTTCCCCCTTGACCATACCAGCTTCAGTCCCCTTCAAGGAGCTACACGTGGATACAAAATGGGGTGTTTACAAGGGGTGGCCTTAAGAAGGAAATGGGAAGGGAACAAGGGTCATGCTGGGTCAGGAGGAAGATGCTGCCCTGAGGCGCTCACAACGGCTGACAACGGGTGGCAGGGATACAGAACACCTTGAGGTACTAAGCCTGGGTGGCTCCCCTCCACGTTTCCGGCACTTGGCCAGGCCTGACCCTGGCAGGGACGCAAACCAGTGTCGCCAGTGAGTAGCTGAGATGCAGAGTGAAGTGAAAACAGTATGGACCAGGAGGCAGAACATCAGGCAGTCCGCCCTGCCGTTGCGGCTCCTGCATGTCCTGTGCTGACTTCCAGGTCATCTCTGAGCATCACTTCCCTCATCTGTGAAAAGGACACCCTTCATCCCTTTTCAGTCAGCTTTGCCTCCTATCTCTGCCCCACCCTCTCACTCCACTGGAACCACAGTGGTTCCTTACAGTTTCTCAAATATGGCGGGCATATTTCAGCCCCAGGGCCTTTGCACAGGCCATTCTCTGCAGGATCTTTATTTCCCCAAGCTATCCCCACAGTTCACTCTTTCAGAGCCTTGGCTCAAGAGTCACCTCCTCAGGAAAGCCACCTTATTTAAAATGGCAACCCCACCCCATTAAAATGGCAAAACCACCCCAGCCTCAACATGCCTAACACTCAACTTCCCCCCCCCACCTCCCAATACACTATATACTTTATTTTATTATTTGTGCCTCCACCATTTACGTGTCAGCTCCATGAGGGAAAGAATCTTTGTTTTGTTCTCAGCTGTCTCCCAGTGCCCCGAACTGTCTGCACTTGGTTCACTAAATCACCTTTGGTATAGGGCCCACAATTTGTTCAATCAAAGGAAAGAAGGGTCTAGAACTATGTATATCAGGGGTCACTGCTAATTTCATTGCTCTCCTACCCTCACACAGTGAGGGGCAGGCCCTTTCGGGGGGGGGGAGTGGCTAGCATAAGATTTGGGGGGTAGGGGAGGCAGCAGAGTACAGAGTTGGAGAAGCTACAGCTGGAGCCTGAGGGCAGGGATCCAGCAGGTGTTGACAGTCAGACATGGGTGAAGGCCTTTGGGCCCCAGCCCTGCACTCCAAATTTGGAAGAACTGATTAAACCCACAACATGTGGGCAGAAAAAGAGAAGCCAGGGCAGCCTGCTCCTGGCTAATGGAGCCAGAGGGGACCTCAGGGACCAGATGGCCCATTTTATAGATGGCACAACAGAGACCCGGAGAATACACAGTGCCTTATTTCCTAACAACCCAACAAGAAAAACTTTCCCTCCTCCTGGGCTGAGCGTGGGGCTGGTGTGAGGCTTCGGCTAAGAAATGGACAGTGTCCCCTCCTGGCGCTTCACCAGCGCTTCCCACCCCACCCCACTCTGTGTCTCTGGGCTCTTTGGGCTGCAGAGGGTCGTGGGCCCCTCTACACCGGCCACCAGAGGTGTAGGTCCAAGAGGCCGCACAGTTGGGGTGGCCATCCCCGCGGCCCTGATGCCTTCTTCCCGCAGGACGGCCCCACCAGGAAAAGTTTGTCTGAAGGAAATGAACCAGGAAGCGCGGGGCGGTGGTGGGGAGCCCACGCGGCCTTGGCTCCAGAGGAGCCCCGGGGTTCCGGCCTCCGCGCGCTCCAGGCCCCCCCCCACCTTGCTCCAGAGAAAAAAACCCGTTCCCCTGGGGCCGCGAGAAGGAGGCGGGAGCCCGGCACTGGGTGGGGCAGGGAGGGCGGAGCGAGGGGAGGCAACGCAAGCGCCCGACCCTCACCCGCGCGCCGGAGATGCGCGCGGGGTTCTGGCGGTTCCTCGATAGTCCCCCCCACCCACCCCGGGGTGGGTGCGAGTATTTTACCCTGGCAGGGAGCCCCAGCCCTCCGAGAGCCAGGCCAATGGCCCCACACTGCCACCTTCCCGCTGAGCGCGCGACTTAGGGGAGACTGGGGGGCGTCCGTCTCCACCTGTGCTTCCCGGACCCTCCCACCCAACAACTGGGGCTTAGGCGTGGCTACGGTTTCTGCCTCCTCCCCCTCCCCCCCCACCCCTTTCTCCCTTGCCCGCCCGGAGACCAGGGTCTCTCCCAGTCTGGCTTCCTCCTCCACTGTGTCCTTCCTCTCCTAGCTCCAGGCACTCACCCACTTTCTGAGACCCGGGCCTGAGAGCTGGGGACCCCAGGTGGAGAGCTCCGGGCGGCTGGGCGCCCCCACGGCCCGCCGAACCAGGAGGTCGGGCCAGCGGGAACTCGGCCACCGCGGTCCGCGGCCCTGCGGGGGCGAAGACAGAAGGAGGGCCACTCGCAAGTTTGTGCCGCGCACTCCTCGGACCGGGGAACAATGGCGATGGGGGGGAGGGGACAGAGAACCGAGCGCGGGGACAACAGTCAGACCCCAGGGAGACAGAAACTGCTGTTGGCTCTTTCTCTCTAGCTCCGAAGCAGAGGGGGAGGCAGGGGGGGAAATAAACAGTCCAACCGGGAGGAGACAGCGGAGGCAGAAAGCCGGGGGAGAGAGGGAAACCAAAGCAGCGGGAAGGGCGGCGAGTGGAGAGCGCCAAGGGAGGTGACCGAAGGGGCTGCGGGACTGCGCCTTGGGGGGGGGGGAGGGACCCCTGGAGTCCTAGCATTATCCGCCGGGGCCAAGAGGTCCTGGGGCGTCCAGCTTGCGCGCACGGGGTCCCCAGGTCCACCGCGGTCTCCGCGGCGGCAGAAGCCCCGCGGGGCTGGGCTGCGCTGCGCTGCGCAGGCACCGGCCGGCGGCGGGAGGGGAGCGTGCGAGGCTCCGAGGCGGCGGCGGGGAACAGAACTTACGTTCCTAGCGCATGCTGGCGCCGGCGCTGCGCGGAGCTGGCGAGCCAGGGGACGCTCGGGCCCTCGGGAGCCTCACATCGCGCCGCCCGCGCGGGGCAGGGCAGGGCACGGCCGGGCCGGGCGGGACTGCGCGCGGCGTCCTGCGCGCCCGGGGTTTACCCGAGTCTGGCGGCCCGCGCTGGTCCCTCCTCTCAGTCCCGCGCGCAAGCCAATGGCGCGCCGTCCCCTCCCACGCGCCGGCTGCCTCGCCCCCGAGGGTGGCCGCCGGGCGGGAGGGGGAGAGGGGTTGGGGCCACTGGGCTCCGGGGCTCCCCGGCTGAGGCTTTCTCAGGGACTGCCTGTGGGGGGCGCGCTCACGCCCCGGGAGAAGGCGCTGGAGAATCGAAGCCGAGGGCCCGCGCGCCGCCCAGGAAGACTCTTGGCAAGTTCTGAAGACTGCGCCCCTTTCCTGAGACTCTCAACACCCCCATAGGTTGGCAAGCCACACTGTCTTAAATATCCTCGGGGTATCCCCTGGGGCCTAGGCCAGTGTCTAAAATGGAAGGGACTGCTTTGGCTGGTAGACACCCAAGTGTGTAGGGAACACAGTGACAACAATGGTCACCATCTGCTGAGCGCCCGCTCCGTGCCAGGCACCGTGTGCTCAAGGAGTTTCGAGCATTAACTCATTTGATTCTCACAACCTATGAAAGCGGCATGATTAATCCCATTTTACAGATGATGGTTAGTGACTTTTGATTTGGGCTTCCAGCTTAGACCCACCCTTCTCTCTCCCCCTGCATAGGACACCCACCCCCTCCACATACACACCCACCTTCTTCATCCTCCACCCTAAAATCTGGTCTCTGCGATGTTGCTCTAAACTGCACTGTCATGGGACAAAGATCTTATCTGGGGCTCCTGGACATGTGGTGGGGGGCACAGTTGTCAGACCTTTGATCTCTGCACATCCTGCGGGGGAAGTGGGGGGTGAAGGTGTGGTTTGGGGGTGCTGGAGTCTCTCTGGGAGCCTGTCAGCCTAAAAGAACCAGGCTCCTACAAACAACGCCCCCACCCACTCTGGGCTCATTTAAATCCCCTGTGACCAGTAATGTGCCTCCCACCCCAAATCCCACCACCCTGCACCCTCCTTCTGAGCAAAATGCCTGGCTCTCTTCATCTTATCTGATGGGAGTGGGGATGGGTGGGTTCAGAAAGGCAAGGTTGATGACACGCTCCATTTCATGAGATCAGTAAATAGAGCAGGTGGAGGTGAGCTGAGTGGTTGCCCTGGATCTCTAGCTAGATAGGCATTTCGACTCTGGGTCTGAGCTCTTTCCGCATCAGTTCCCGAAGGGTTAATCAAGCAGGCTCTGGGACAAGACCTACTGCCCAGCTTCAAATCCTGGCCCAGCCATTTGGTAACTGTGTGGCCCTGTGCAAGTTACTTAACCTCTCTGTGGCTTGTTCCCTCCGCCCACAAAATGGGGCTGACCCATAGTAGGAAGTGCCCCTGGTTATGGAACGGCAGCAGCACACACTTACTGAGCGCAGACTGTTTGCCAAGAAGACTCTCACTGCCCTCCCCAGAGCTGGGACTGGGCGGGAGAGGCTGTGCCCTTTACACGGAAGTAAACAGAACAGTACCTGGCTCTCGAGAACTCTCGGCGACTGAGCTGTCCTCATTACCAAGGGAACAACTCTGATCCCGAGGCACCTCTGTGGCCCACAGTGCCACCATCCCTGCTTCCAGACAAAGCCCTCAGTCACCGATGGCCAATAATGAGTAAGTGAATGAATGAATGAATGAATGGCTAGAGCTATAGATCAGGATTGTTCCTAAGTGTGTTGGGTGAAGCACAGACCCAAGATCCACCTGACTCGAGGCTCGATAGTAGTCTTTGCAACAGCTCAGAGTCTCAGCTTGCTGCCTCAACAGAGCCGGCTCAAGCTGGGATGATGAATTCCTTTGTTGCCTCTTCTGTCTTCCCAGCATGCAGGGCTCTGGGTTGCTGCCGGGAGGGTACCAACCTCACTAGTGTGAAATGTCACCTCTGATTGTCCCCTTTGATATGGAGACACTGCCAGTGCTGCCCTTGGCATGACCACTGTACATACCCCAGAGCCTGACCTCACATCCATAAGAGGGACTCTGTAACAATCCCCCCAAGATCTCCAACATGTGAGGCGTTGCCTTAGTAGTAGTGAGCACCCTGTCACTAGCAGCATGCAAGCAGAAGCCAGGGAAGAGTCAGTGAGGGGTGCTAGAGGAAGGATTCACACCTTAGGTGGCATAGGATGTGGATAACCTTTGAGCCCTGCAGGTCTTGATTGTGTGTTCTGTTCCCCAAGCCCATCAGCGGGGAGCCTGGGAGAACAGGCTGTCCCCCCCAGCCTCATGAAGGAGGCAGTCTTGTCTGGGCCCTAACTGTGTGTCAGGCAAGGTGCTGAGTACTGGGGCTCTGGTGGTAAACAGGACCCAGTGCCTGTCCTGGGGGAGCTCACAGCTCCTGGGAGACAGATGCACACGCAGCAGCAGTGGAGACAGCTCTTGGTGACAGGCAAAGGGGCTGGGTGGGCAGGAGAGGGAAGAAGCTCTCCATTACCCCCGCGTCTGCACTCCCTAAAGCACCCACTAGAAACTCTTGCTCTCTACCTTCCCATAGAGTTTTCTTTTCTTTTTTTTTTTTTTTAAGATTTTATTTATTTATTTGAGAGAGAGAATGAGAGCCTGAGAAGGGGGAGGGTCAGAGGGAGAAGCAGACTCCCTGCTGAGCAGGGAGCCTGACGCGGGACTCGATCCAGGGACTCCAGGATCATGACCTGAGCCGAAGGCAGTCGCTTAACCAACTGAGCCACCCAGGCGCCCCCCCATAGAGTTTTCTAAAGTGATGTGCATCTAGTTCAGGAACGTTCCTTAGACTGCCATTCTGCTCTTAACTTCTCCATTACCTCATCTTTACACTGGGCATAAAAAAGATCACCGTGCTGGGCTGTCGTGAGCCCGAAACTGACATTTGTCAAGTGCTAGGCGAGAACAAGGCAAAGGTAGGCAAGAACAGGTGCTCGGACCTGCTGACCATGAGGTGTCGTCATTATTTGCAGCTCGGGAGAAGGAGCATTAGCGGAGGGGACGAGATAAGGGGGCTAGGGCCCTGGCTCCACTCCTAACTAGCTGTGTGACCCTCTGCTGCACCCGAAAAATGGAAATATAAAAACACCTGCCTCTGGGAGCTCGTCCTTGTCAAGTGAGGGATTAGATGAGAAAAGATCTGCAAACTGGAAATGCTGATCCCGGGTGCTATCATGTTTACTGGGATTCTCTTTGTGAAATTGTCCCTCAGAGCCCCGGGACGGTCGGGTGGGGTGGGCGTGGAGGTGGAGCCAAGGGCCAGCCAGCTGGGGGAGGGTCACTCCCCCCCACCAGCCTCCCACTGGAGCCTGGGAGCAGCCTGCCCCGTCCCCTTCAGCAAGGGCGGCAGCATGTTCATCGTGCCTGCGTGTGTGCATGCGTGCATCTGCACAGATGGGTGGTATGTAGGCGGGTGCGTGGCTGGAGGGTGGCGTGGGCACAGGAAATGCCAGTGTCCGTGGCCTGAAATCACCTGTGGACTGTGAATCCCTGGGGAGGAGTGCAAATGCAACTGGATTTCAAAGGTGCGGCATGGGACTAGTGTTGGCACCTGCGTGTTGGGGGGGGTGAGGTGGAGAGGCTCGGGGAATGCCCGTTGGGCCTAGTCTTTGGGGCTGGGGACTGGGCTCAGCACTGACCCCCTCCCTCGGGATGGGGGGTGGGGCACACAGAGGAAGAGGCTGTCGTCAGAGGCCCCTGTGGTTGAACCCAGGGGTTCTAGAGTGGACAGACCTGGGTTCAAATCCTAGTTATGGATCATGGGCCAGTGCTTTCATTTCTCTGAGCCTCAGTTTCCTGGTCTGTAAAATGGGGGGATGGGTAGAGCCTACATCTTAGGGGTTACTGGGAGTTTAACAGAGGACAGATGTTAAGCTCTTAGCAAGGAGCAGGCACTATTGTTGATATTAGTAGTAGTAACCAGAAGGAGAGAGGGAGAGGGACTCTGCAGGAGCTGGTGCTTGGTAAACTGGAAAAGGTAGCTAGCTCTGGGGTAAGGAAGTTGTCAAGCCACGGTTAGCTGAAGCTGCCAGGAGGAGCACCATTTTGGACGAGGATGAAGGGGCCACTGTCCCAGGGAGTGAGGCAGAGGAGTTAGGCTTTTGTAACCCCTCCTGGTTCCCCTTCCCGGTTCCCCTCACTTCCTCTAGAGCTTCCTTCCTGGTTAGAGAGCCTGCCTGGTAAGACCTCTGGGAGTTTCCTCGCCACTGCTGGGGGTCACAGGCTGAGCACAGCTTTGGGGATGGAGAGGAGCCTGCCGGAGCAGGCCCTCTGAGACAGGCCTCCCGCACACTGCCTGGCCCCCGCCTCCAGCCTGGGGAAACTGCCCAGGCTTCCTTCCCTCCACCGCGCTCTCTGGAGGCCACCCTCCCTCCTATGAGTCATCCTCACTGCCACCAGCCAGGCTGCGGGCTGTCAGCTCCTCACCTGTGGGGAGACAACCCATCAGGATGGGGGTAGAATTCAAGGGCCTCAGCCCTTCCTACAGTAAGGGTGGGACAGCTTGGGGGCCAGAGGACCACAGCCGACCCTTTCCTGCTTCCAGGGGGCTGAGCTCCAGAGGGCAGGTACAGGCAGGACTTGGGAGTTAGACCATCCTGGATTTAGGCACAAGGCCCTAGTCCTCTGCTAACTAGCTCTGTGGTCTTAGACGACTTTCTCAGCCTCTCTGAGCCTTGGTTTCTTCAGCTGCCCAATGGAAAGAGGAAAATCATGATGACTCTCAGAATACTTGGAGGATTAAGTTAGACTCTATATGTAAGTCCTGAGCTCGGGGCCTGGCTTACAGTAAGTGCTCAATAAATGTTCATTGACTCAAGGAATGAATGAACGTGCAGCAATGGCAGTAAGTTGGGGGGAGGGGTGGGGGTACACGTGGCTGTCTGCAGGAAAGCCATCCTTCACCTCCACCTCCCTCCAGCCAGGAGAGTGAGGGGAATGTCTGGGGGTCCAGGACACCCCAAAACTCAGGATGGACTGTGGACTCTCCCTTGTGGGTACAGCTGATGCTTCTGCAAAGCCTCAGGCTGGGTCAGACTCTCCAAG